TATATATATTTTTTTAAAGATTTTATTTATTTATTTATTTTCCCCCCAAAGCCCCAGTAGATAGTTGTATGTCATAGCTGCACATCCTTCCAGCTGCTGTATGTGGGACGCGGCCTCAGCATGGCCGGAGAAGCGGTGTGTAGGTGCGCGCTGGGGATCCGAACCCGGGCCGCCAGGAGCGGAGCGCGTGCACTTAACCCCTAAGCCACGGGGCCGGCCCTTTAGCATTATATTTTAAAATCAGATAATGACGCATAAGGGCTTTTGTCCATGCTTCTGAACCTATTTACCACCATCACTTTCAACAGCAGAAATAGCCATTTTATTAAATGTTTCTTTGATTGTAGACCTGGGAAAGTTCCAGTGAAAGAGGTTGGTAAAATCTCAAGCAGCGGCTCACAATGTAGAGATACTCAGATAACAGGAAACCAATTCATAAATTAAGAATAACTGCAATCCAAGGGCTAAAATGCATGCTGTCAAAGTGTTCATCCTATGGATCCATTTCTAATTGACAGCTGTCAATCAGGCAACACTCTTGAGATAGTCATCATCTCAGTCACACCAAAAGATAATTTTAGCTATCTCGATTTAGCATTCATTAAACAATTATGAGATAAAATGACTTCTGGGGAATGATATCAAGCAAAATGTGCAATGGGACAGAGCAATTAATAGGTGCAGGTATTTTGAAAGATATTTTATACAAAATCTTAACAATTTCACCCTAGATGGAAGTGATCAGAAGCTATTATGTCATTTTAGCAGAAAATCAACCATTAAGTGGTAAGCTAGCCTCATGTGGACTCATGTGCTGCTTTTGAGGGATATAATAGGGACATAGAATTTAGTGATTCTCTGCAAAATTGATAGTGTGAAGATGAGAACAGGGTTAACAAGGTCGACTCTATCTATCTGTCTGTCTGTCTGTCTATCTATCTATCTATCATCATCATCATCATCTTACACAATAAATACCAGTTGATGGCATTTGTTAAGTGCAAACTCAGTGCAGAGCTTATTATTATTAATCTTGCCTTACTTAGTTCCCTCAAACTATTGTAACTGAAGATATTCAAGTTTCAGGCTTATTCTACCTAGATTGAGCCTACCTCGTTCAAGACTGACATTATAAAAAGAGCAATATAGTCTGTCGATTGAGCTAGTGGATGGGACCTGGAAACTGAACTTGCTGTTTCATGTCTGGCAACCTGCATGCTCTCCAGCAGCCATCTTCCCTCCTTTCCCCACAAACCCATTGTGCAAGACCAGTCATTATAGTTAGGCTTCAACTGCTTGAGATTTCTAGATTGCAGTTCAGCTCCCCTGCTGCGGTAGGAGCCTTGCCTCTAATCGTAGCTCATTTGCCCATGACTTAGCTTGTTCTTCACTCCACAGGGTCAACTCTACATGAGATTTAGTGTTCTTAGCCCTAGCCTAATAATCCCCATGTTCTCCCTTTCAGGCACTACTAGTCTGTTGCTGATGCCTCTGTGTGGCTCAGTTGAGACTACTTGATTTAAGCAAGGGGCATCTCCTACATGCTGGACAGAAGAATAAATTAGAAAAGTAGAGGTGGCTTGTTCTAGTAGTACCAATAGAAGATGGGGAGTTCTAGTGCCAGTTTTGTCACTGAGTAGGCACGTAACCTCCGGTAAGTCACTTAAATGTTCTGGTCCTCAGTTGCCTCACTTGTAAAACAAACAGTTGATCTTTTAGATGCATTATATCTCTGTCATTTTATGCAATACAGCCATGTGCCACATAACGACGTTTTGGTCAATGATGGACTGCATACAGATGGGGGTCCCATAAGATTAGTACCATATAGCCTAGGTGTATAGTAGGCTACACCATATAAGTTTGTGTAAGTACACTCTATGATGTATATACAATAACAAAATTGCCTAATGACACATTTCGCAGAATGTATACTTGTTGTTAAGCGACACATGACTATAACACTCTACTTCAAAGTAATTTATAAATTAGTATGGAGACAGAATGCAGGTATATGAATTACCTAAAACATATTTATCAAATTTCTCAATGAATGTAAATTGATGGCATGAACATAATGTAGTAAAGGAGATACGTGGGGGCATCAAGGAAACTGGTACAGAGAGCTGGGTGGGGTCAACTATGGAAGATTTTTTTTTACATTTTTTTTTTGTGTGTGTGTGAGGGAGATCAGCCCTGTGCTAACATCTGCCAATCCTCCTCTTTTCGCTGAGGAAGACTGGCCCTGGGCTAACATCTGTGCCTATTTTCCTCCATTTTATTTGGGAGGCCGCCATAGGATGGCATGACAAGCGGTGCATCTGTGCGTGGCTGGGATCTGA